TTTGCAAAAAAGTTTTGCAAATATTTTAGTTCTCGTGGTTTTGAATCGGTTTTTAAATTTTTTTCGATATAAATTTTCTACCTTTGACTATTTCGACAACGATATGCAAGTCGTATGTGTTATTCTCGCCCATGAAAGACGACAAACAAATTTAAAACCTCAAGAAATGTGGGAAAAGACTTGAATATGGATTTTATACAAAGGGTAAGAGACAAATTTTCATATTTCAATTTTTTATAAATGTTTAGACTTTTATACCTTTAATATTTCAAGTTATTTGACATGAAAATGATAAGCATAACGATGAAACTGACACTCTATTTGTTAATAAAACAACTTCCTATGTAATAGTACAAATACACATGGTAAAGTGTAAAATTTCGCACTATTTTACTAATTTTAGCAAGCTGTGTAAGTGTGATTCATAATCGCAAAATATTTGGTTACAAACTACGAAGCTTTGATCGATATTCAGTCACATATACGAGGATTACGACGGTCTAAGTGTGAACTGTCTAGTGTAATAATGTTTAAAAGGTTGACTCCTGAGGTCTCGTTTTATAAACAGACATAAACCTCATTTCCAGGATGGCCTGTTTTCTTACAAGTTTTCTCAGTATTAAAATATCACTGTGAATGAGCAATGTACCTTTATAAATGCACTCATAGTTCTGATACCCCTGGTTAGGTCACATTCTGTTTTATTGTTTTATACCTTGATCATATGCTAATTATGTTACTGGTGGATTTTTGTACAATTAACCTACATAATTAATCTACTCTTGTTTATTGCAGATTTATTCCACAATGACACTCCCCTTTCTGGGTGGCAAGCTCGGTGGCAAGTTACAGTACCAAGCCACACATATCTTTGGAAACTGAACTGACATACTGTATTTTAATATGAAGCGTTATTAGGGTCAAAATTCGAATACAAATTATGTTATCCTTGCACTCAATTTATATTCTTTAAATCGAATAACATAATTTGAAATGGCATAATAGAATTTGAAATGGCATAATAGAATTTGAAATGGCATAATAGAATTTGAAATGGCATAATAGAATTTGAAATGGCATAATAGAATTTGAAACGGCATAATAGAATTTGAAATGGCATAATAGAATTTGAAATGGCATAATAGAATTTGAAATGGCATAATAGAATTTGAAATGGCATAATAGAATTTGAAATGGCATAATAGAATTTGAAATGGCATAATAGAATTTGAAATGGCATAATAGAATTTGAAACGGCATAATAGAATTTGAAATGGCATAATAGAATTTGAAATGGCATAATAGAATTTGAAATGGCATAATAGAATTTGAAATGGCATAATAGAATTTGAAATGGCATAATAGAATTTGAAATGGCATAACATAATTTGAAACGGCATAATATAATTTGAAACAGCATGGGTAAAATCAAGCGTTTATTCATATACGGTAAATGTGGTGCATGGATTCAAAATATCCGTGCAAGAAGAAGTAGCTAGGGACCAGTCATTATTAATGCTGGGTAGGGGGCCGGAGGAATTAAATTTAAGAAACATTTGGCATTCAACCCCAAGCTCGTGCAAATGTTTCTTAAATAGCTGACGCAGAAACTAGCACAAAAAGATAATATGAACGATATATGAAGTTGTCGTAAGGTGGTTTTGAAATTCTAAGACCAGTACATGTGAGTTTCAGGGGGTCTATATTACCTTTCTATAGAAAAGAACTTGAAGTTGTGGACGATTTTGGACTAAACGCCAAGGCCGCTGGAGATTTTTAAATTTTATAATTTTTAGATGAAGTATATAGACGTATCAGTTGATCCCATTTTAAACGTTGTAAACGTTATAGAAGTATTTTGAATAGTGTTTTTGGTAACGTATATTTACGAGCCGCAGTACTAAGAGAAACGAACACGTTTGTTTTTGAGAATCGAACCCAAGTTGACGTTTTATAAAATGTTTCCTATTTTATTTGTACTATTGGTGAATACATTTTTAGTAAAACTTTTTGACGTCCTACGAAAGTATTAACTAATCAACATTCACTAAATTTTGCAATTTACACTGAATGTTTTTGATACGTTTCGGCATGGTACGCTTGAAGTGGGTTTAATTTAATTTCGCATTATGGCAGAAAATAACCAAGAAAACAATCGTCGGTCCAACAACAATTCCGATAGATATCTAGATAATTCAAATAGAGCTATACAATTGCTTATGCTAGTCAAATATTACAAAATATCAACTTTGATTGATATTTGTGGTGTTACTCTGAGTGTATATCCACACCGGGCGAGCTTGAAAAATATGCCCGGCCACGGTGGGATTCGAACCTACGACCTTTGGAATACTAGCCCAATGCTCTTCCAACTGAGCTACGCGGTCAGGACGGTTCGAGTAAGTGATAATTCGGAACAGAATCTAGTTCCTTCGATACCAATGTATTCTAGTAATGATACCAATGTATTCAAGCTCGCCCGGTGTGGATATACACTCAGAGTAACAACACAAATATCATATTCACCTGAGTACACTACACCAACACAGAAAAAAAAATCAACTTTGATTGTATACAAGTTGTTCGTGTTTTATATTAACTGCCGTGTGTTTACAATCAAGTCGTTCGTGTTTTACATCATGGGCTAGGCCCTTGGCCAAAATTATTTCGCTTCGTGGCACCCATGTGGGAAATACTTGGTTTGGGGTTTATTTGAAAGGCGTATAGGCACATAACTACCAAAAAAAGTGCCCAAGCAAAAAAACTTGCCCAATCCCGAGAAAATGGGTGATCAATGATTATCCTCTATTAAATTGTATTACTGCCAAAAAATGGGAAATTCTGTATTCAATTACAATAAAAATGACTTGTATCATCGGAAAACGTACAAAAAACAGCATATAAGACTTTTAAACAGTTGTTTGATTTTTCAAATAGTCTTTGAGTTATTGCTGTTTTAAGGGACCGGTCATTATTTATGGTGGGGGGTGGCACCGAAGAGAAAAAGGTTGGATAAACAAAATTTTGAGTAAGTAAAAGGTTGGGTAAATGAAAAACAAAACAACTCAAGGGTTGGGGAATAAAAATTTACTGTCATTTCCAAAGCATGACCCACTGAAATATTGGAGACTGAAAAGCAATGTCAACAGTCATTTGTCAATACAATATGTGAATCAATCAGAGTCACTATCTTGATCATATTACGAAAGTCACCGAACTGTGGAATGGGTCCAAATTTTTGTATTGCGACCACACCCACTTTCTTGAAGAAAGTTGTAAATATTCTTCAAGAAAGTGGGCGTGTTCCTCATAATGTACTGAATATTATATTATATTTACAATAATAAACATGGGCGAGACAAGTAAGGCAGGACGTGTTTATGAGCGTGGAAAAGCAATTGGTCATGATTTAAGACAGAAAATAATCCAAGATATTGTTGAAAAGGGAGGAGACTTTGTTACAGGGTTCTTTGACGGAAATTTTAAAGAAATTGCCCTCATGAACCGAATAAAATACGACACCGTTAGAAAGATTTGGAAACAGTTCTGCGAAACTGGTAACATTCGTTTCGAAAGTCGAGCAAGTGGCAGTAAACATCTACAACAGGACGATATCGACTTCATACGATTTCTGAAGACCCACCGTCCATCTATGAGCACAGGTGAACTTTACAAACATTTAAATGAGTTCGGTAACGTTGTTGGTGGAACAAGTTACTCAGGAGTAAGACGAGCTCTAAAATATCACATGGACGATGGCGAATGGAGTTGGAAGAGACTCACATATTCCGTTCAAGAAAAGTTTACTGCCGCCAACCTGACCTATTGTCAAGAATTTGTAAATTATGTCCACACGATTGATCCTCACAGATTGAAGTATTTTGATGAATCAGGAATTAAACTTCCAGATGTTGGGAGGCCGAATTATGGCCACTCGCTAATAGGAACTCCAGCCGTTGAGATTTCTCGAAACATGCATTCGCCTAATATTACACTTAACTTGATGTGCGGATTGGATGGTATTATTTATGCGAACACCGTAGATGGTGCAAGCAATCATTTAAGTTTCCTTAATTTCTTTGAAGAATCTGCAAATGTATTTCTTCCCGATGGAAGACCACCTTACACGTACGGTGACCATGTGATAATGGACAACGCAGCAATTCATCATTATCGAGCGGGCCAAGCACTGGGAGAATGGTTGGACGACATAGGATGTGTTCTTTTGTATTTACCGACATATTCGCCAGAATTTAACCCAGCTGAAAACGTATTTAATAAGCTGAAAACAATTCTAAGGCGATTTGAGTACAGAGAACTGTTGCGGGACAGTCTTCATGTGGCTGTACACCAAGCTCTACAAGAAATTGATATGAATGATATGAGAGGATTTTTTAAGTTCACTGGATACATTAATGTTTAACTGTTTAAAGCCTGTTTCAAACGTCACTCTTCTCATGTGTCGAATGCATTAGAAACAACATTAATAGATGATGCATTTCAGCTGATGTTTGAAACACGCCTTACTCATATGCTTAAGTAATTAGTGCATGTTCAGAAACTTTTGTATACACTAGATCGAGGGAATATTTTATGTAGGCTAAGCCTGTCCATAGGAATTCCTTTGATTGTCTATGGCCTGTCTGAACATGGTAGTTCAGACAATATAAATGTTGCATGTAGAACACGTATCATAGAACATTTTAAACCTTGTAAAATTCCAAATTTGTCCATATATAATTGTTCAAATTGTTTCATGTATTTTAATACTAGATAAATAAATCAACCGTATTTCAGTTTATAATATCAATGTATTACAAATAGCCATATTACAAATACAGCAGTTGCACTGTCACTACCGACCATAATTGTGTATAATTTCTCTTATATGGCACGACTTCCACAAGTCAGTCAGAAATGATAAAGCACAATTTTCAAAGGTTACATTATCCTGAAACAGCCGCATATTTCTGTATCAAATATTAA